TATGTTTAGCTGGTAAAACTGCAGACTCCTTGATTATGAGTTGCATCTTACTAGAAATAAGCATGTCAAAGTGCCCGATTTTTTTCTTAGTGTGAAAGAATGAAACGTTACATCCTGGTTCTAAAGGGTTAAAAAAGCATGAAAGCAGTTAAATGCATTTTAGTGGGCAGTGGTTAGCTTGATGCATGGTGAAGGCTTTTTAGTTTATGTTGTTAAATATGGTACAGCATAATGTAGGGGAGTTTGTAATTTGCATTATCTGCAAAAAAAGGAAATACTTGTTTTGACTGGAAAGTTCAGATAATTGTAAATGTGCAGTGACTAGAAACAAAAGCATTCTCTCGTAACTAAAGCTTGCTTTGGAGATTGCTGCATCTTCAGAGAAAGCTTGGTAAAGCAAACTTTTCTTGTCTAACAGTTTTAATTGAAGAAAAAGTAGCAGAGATGAGATGCTAGAATCTGTAGTGGACCTCATCTGCCTTCAGTTGATTCTTTATTCACAAGCGAGATTAAAGATCTATAGAGAGACATTTGTGAAAATACTGCAGTGTTTTTATAGAGAGAACGCTTAAAAACCCTGACACAATAGAGCTTTCTTAAATATTTAATTAAAACATTTCTTAAAATACCTAATTTTAATGAATACTAACCTTTTGAGCTGTACTCTGAACTAATGGTTGCTAAATTATGCTAATAATTTAGTGAGAGAACAATGAATTTATACGTATAGGTGTTTAATAAAACAGTGGTTCAGGAAAGACTTAGACATTTATCAAACTCAGTATTTGAGATAGAATTTTGATAGTGTTTTGTTGTTGTTGTTCCTTTTTTCTAGTTGTGGCTTTTGACCTGCAAATTTTAGACTTTCCAGTGTGTGTGTATGTATATGTGTATATACTGGGTTTTATTTTGTCTTGTTTTCAGTTGCTCTAGTATGCAATAAGGCTGAACTTTACTTTTGTCAAGCTTATTATAATTATGTATCTCACTGGAAGGTTTCAGAGGTCTAACAGACATCATTTAAGTTTCCTTATGCTTTGAGATATAAATATTGATCTATCTCTGTGTTTCGCAGGCTGCAGCAGCTGTTCCAGGTCCGGTTGGTACTGATTTCAAACCTTTGAATTCTACACCTGCAACTACAACAGAACCCCCCAAACCTACATTCCCTGCTTACACGCAGTCTACAGCCTCAACCACTAGCACGACAAACAGCACTGCAGCTAAACCAGCTACATCTATAACAAGTAAGCCTGCCACCCTCACAACAACCAGTGCAACCAGTAAGTTGATCCATCCAGATGAGGATATATCACTGGTAAGTTAAAATTTTTATTTTCATTGTCTTACTGAAAAATGCAGTTTTTACTGATGTGGGTGATGAAATAGAATTTCTTCTGTGCTTTGCGTTATGCGTATTTTAATAACAGTGAGAGTGCAAACTGCAGAATTGCTGTAACAGAACCATGCATTGGGGAAACTTTTTCGGTTGCAAAGTGATGACTGACATATGGCAGTGATCCTGCTCAGATCTAAACATTATTTTTGTTGGTGATAGGAAATTACTCAACCCAAATTATAATTTGGACGTTTTCTGCGTGTGACTAAAGCTTGAAGTTAGATACAGCTAATGAGTGTAGGACAAACGACTTTATAGTTTAGAGTGGCCTTGGTGCTATTACAGCAGTCAGAAATGCAGAATTTATGCATAAAAGAAATGAACCTTAATTTCAGTTCATTTATCTTTAGATTTGTGTTTGGCTTTTTTGTCTCAGCTTGTTGTGAGGAAGAGGCTTTCTTCAGCTGAGAGAGGAGGAGAATTTGTGTTGTCTGCAAAATGCTAGATTGGCCAATACTAATACAGTAACTTTGAAAGAATGGGGGAAAATCCAAATGCTACTGTGTAGAGTTATTAGTAGCAGTCTTTGAACTTGTAAGGTAGTTAAAGTAGTTCAGTGCCTATAATCTGCTTTGCTACACTTTTATTTACTTTGCTCTTGGAGAGTTTTAGTCTTAACAATGTGTTGTGGTTGTCTGTTCTTGGTTTTAGGAAGAGAGAAGGGCACAGTTGCCTAAATATCAGCGTAATCTTCCTCGACCGGGACAAGCTTCCTTGGGTAATCCACCAGTCGGACCAATTGGAGGTATGATGCCACCACAGCCAGGAATTCCTCCACAACAACAAGGAATGAGACCTCCCATGCCACCTCATGGTAATCATAAGTTTCTTAGCTTTCTTTTCTTGAAAATATTTGTCTGCTATGAACTTTTTTTAAAACTCGAAGTGGCTTATACTGGTGGGGGGGGTGTGAAGCTTTTTACAAAATGCAACTTCTGCCCGTTATTTAAAAAAAAAAAAATTCTTCTTTACATCCTAAATGTTCTGTTTATAGGTCAGTATGGTGCTCATCACCAGGGCATGCCAGGATATCTTCCTGGAGCGATGCCTCCATATGGTCAGGGACCTCCAATGGTGCCCCCTTACCAAAGTGGACCTCCTCGACCTCCAATGGGAATGAGACCTCCTGTAATGTCGCAAGGTGGCCGCTACTGATGCTACTACACACGCTCTAATAGGTTTGGAGATTAAACCTTTTCTCATCTTGTGCTGTTAATATAGCCGAGCTTCCGTCAATTAAGGCTTCATTGTGACTTTAAAAAAATAAGTATCTTCCCACATGCAAGGAGCTATTGGACATTCTTATTTTACATGGGAAAAATTATTTGGAATAATAACAGGAACTTTTCCTGATGTTGCAATTTATACTGTATGGCTTCTTTTTCATGTTTCATCTAGGTTTTTAGAAGTGAAGTATAGTAAATATGGTTCGTTAAATTGTGAAGGCGCTGGAATTACATGAACATACCACCTTAAAGGCAAGTTCTGTAACATTATGTTGCTATTTGTGAAATGATGCCTTCACAGCACTTCATGTGCTGTTGGACTTCATGTCCCCAACATAGTTTGGTGAGGGCTGTAACTGTTCCCAACTACTTGTACATTTAAGTCTGAACTTGTAACAATATTTAATGTATTTAGAGTTCCTCCTGTTCCAGAGTTTAAGTAAACTGACCCACTAAGGTCGTGTGACTTTTCTGTACCGTTATAAACTTCATTGTAATAAAAGAAGAGAAAAATTTATATGCCTTTTTATTCATGACCAGCTGTGGACAACTGCCTGAAAGGTTTGTACAGATGCATGCCGTGGTAGCTATTGGTGTAATGTACACAATTATTGGTGCTGTTTTGATAAAATCTGAATTCCTTGTTCTAAAATTAAGTCACTCCTTAGCTACACATCTCAGTAGACAAAGACCTGTACACTTATTAACTGACTCCTCAAAAACGAGGTTGCAGGAGGCACATCTTAACTCTTGGCTGTAACTTCTCTTAATGCATATGTTTCTTTATTTGTGCTTTCTTGTCCTCAATAAATTTTAAACGATTTCTAGTCCTGGCACTTAACTTGTAGGATGTCAAAGTGATTGCTCTAAGATGCATCCTGGTGCCAGATGTTCACTCTTCGACTGACTCTCTTTAATGTGCCAATGCATATGAATTTCAGGAACCTTTTAGATGAAGATTTCTAGAAGCTTAGGTGCATGTCACATGGGTGAGTGACTTCCAGTTGATGTTGTATTGAAGTTGACCTGCAAAAGAGAAAAAGTAGCTTGACCTTCTCAGTGTATAGAAGAGACAAGAGAGGCAAGAGTATTATGTTGTATGCTGTATTTTTGCTTTCAGTGTTCAGAATTTCAGATCTCAACAGAGTCTAAAAGGTGAACCATCGGTTGTGCACTATGATCAGATGTTGGCTGAGTTTCTTGAGCCATTTAATGGAAGTGTCTAGAGCAAGAGACCATTTTGTCAGTTCTCCTAATTACAGTTATTAAAGAAAGTCCTTCCCCGGATGAATTAGTCATTAATCTGTTCATAAGACTAGGCTGATAAATTACTGTCAAGGTTGCAGTTCTCTAAATGTCTAATGTCACTGTGTTAGTATGCTGTTTTTCTGGTAAGAATGAAAATGTAGAGGGAGACTCTTTTTGGAGGGAAGTGAGGGGGGAAAAAAAAGGGAGTGGTGAAATTTTCATTTGCAGATCAACTTTAAATACATGTTCCAGCCTCAAGTCTTATCCGTGCAGTTTAATTTATGGGGATGTCTCCACTTCTAGGGCAGGTTAGAAAGATTATCAGCGTTTTTGTGTCGGTTTATGTTCCATAGATGTTTTTGTTGACGGTGAAGTTTTTTTGCTTAATTACAATACTGAGCATTTTGGCTCTCTTGAATGTCTTGGGGGTTTGTAGCTGCACTTAAGTACTTCATGTGGCTTTATTTTGTACTGTCTCTTAATAGTCCAGAAATACAGTACAGCTAAAATACTGCATTGTCTCTTCAAACCTGGGGTCATGGAATGGCTCATAAAAGCACTAGAACATCCCATACACTCTTTAACTGCAGCTGAATGGCCTTAGTTTAACCATTAAGAATTATCAGGCACTTTTTGGAGGTGTTTAGCAGTTTTAAGACCATAACTCCAAGCCTCTGTTGAGAAGCAGTTCTCTCTGATCGCTGCTATCTGCTGATCACCTGTCAGATGTGCAGTATTTGGCTTGCAAATGCGCTGAGTGAGCCTCTTGTTAGCTTTCATCTTGCTTTAAACATAAGTCTAACAGATAAAACTGTTTTGCTTAGGCAATGCTTTTACACTCTGGTTTTCTTCTGTTTTTCTTTCGTCTAATAAGGATAATTACAAAACAGAACTGGAGAGATTTTTATGGTGTCTTGCATTCATCCTTTTGTAGCGCTACATGTAAAATTTGTACATTATAAATTGATCTTAACGTCTCCTTTTAAAACTGTAGAACTTCTTACTTTTTCTGAAGATCAGATTGCTGCTGTAAGGATGTTTTGCCCTCCTGCCCCTAGTAAAGTTAATGCCTTCCACCTTTGGTGTCTTTCTGTACCTTCCTGTATGTTGTTTTCAGACCCCTCCTTTTCCTGGGATAAGTACTTGAAAACCTTACTGCATGTACTGTTAACTCAGCATATTCCCTCTTTTAAACGGTGAATGTCTCATTGTTCCAATAATAGTACCATTTTGTAGCTAATACTACAGAGACTTACAGCTTGTATGCATTTTAAGCTTGAATTTTCCTTAGTAGAAATGTTACGATAATTCCTCAACTAAGTACTGCCATCTATTATTCATACAGTACTGTAATAATCATCAGCAAGCAGGTGAACAATTTTTCCATGATTTTTCATGTGGATACTTAGCTTTCCTGCTCCTGTCATTTCTGTCATGTAAGAGCTGTGATGTGGCTATCTTTAGTTACTCTTGTCTCTTGTGTGTACTCTTCTGTAAACAGGCAGGTATTTCAGTGCCTATGTTGTCTGTTGGTCCCTGCCTTCATTTCCTTGGATACTGCTTCTTAATGTTCAGAGAGTTGGACTTATGGTGCATTTTCCTCCAAAAGAGGAAGACTACTTTGAATGTAGTAATTGCTTGCCTAAAGACTAAGGCTTGGTTTACAGCACGAAGTTTAATCAATGTAGCTGGTGCCAGCAAAATCCCTACTTTAGTGCAGCCGTACAGACAGGTTTTTTGCTTTAGTTAATCTCCCTGGAAAGAGATTCAGAAGCCTTTATGATTACAGAAGAGCATCTCTCTTTTACATCTCATGCAGGATTCTAGTGATGTAATTACATAGGCAGCAGCTTTTTCAGGTGTTGCCTAAATTTGCCATGGCAGATCTTGTAGTAAAATTAAAACTTGGAAGTGGATTTTGGTCGGTCTTTAAATTGCAATGTAATGCAACTGTGGCATGCAAAAGAACGTTTTTTGTTGCAAACCTGCAAGAAAATGTTCAGACACAGGTGGGAAAATGTTTAGCAAAATACTTACAATTTATAGCATCTAGGACTTGTTAAAAAGGTTCTAAATTATTTTATTCATGGTCTCTCAATATCATTATGAGAGGCTGATCTTGTATCTGATGATTTTTAGAGCAAAAGGGATGAGACTGGCCTGAAAGAACCTTGGAAGAAGCCTGGGCCAGTTTTTCAGAAGTCTTGACATGACTGTTTCATACTGCCTTTAGAATATCTTTCTGCCTTTGGCAAAGGCTGCTTTAAATAAAATGTTGAAAATTTAGCCGGCTTATGTGGACTAAAAATTTCTTCTTGCGGAACTTTAGGATTTTTTTTTTTTTCCCCACAGATGAGATTTTTAGGTGCTGGTAATAAATTTGAGGCTGGGATTTATAATAATTTCAGTGGATGACTATTCCTCACTCTGTGCATGCATGGGAGAATATAAACAAGCTTCTAGAAACATACTCAGCTGCATCTGCTTTCCCTGGTTTCTGCAGTTGTTGTAGTGTATGGAGCTCTTGAACACCACTTACATAAACTGTATAACGTACTTTCTTAAAACTTGGAGTATGTAACCTGTAGTTATTTTATAGGAATCAAAAGAATTCTGCATACAAGGTAAAAAAGAAAATATCAAGATTACTTCAGTTTTATAAACAGCAAGAAGGGCATTATGACTCTTCAGTTAAATTGAGACTCTGATATACCAGTCCATGAGCTGGGGCTGCAATTTAAAATGGTAACAAATGACACTTAAAAATAATAGTAAATGTCTTAATAATTGTACTGGTCTAGCTTCTACGTTGAATACTAAGGTGAGGGTGAACATTTTCAGTGGCGGATGGAATCTTTAAATCTACTTTTTGTGAACTAGTACAGTAAATACTATCAGTTATGGGAAGAATGCCCCAAGACAACTGACTTCTGTTCCATTGATCAAAATACAAAGCAAAACGAAACTGTGCAATTCAGAAATAGCTACTAACTGTAAAAAGGTTTGTTTGGGCCTAACAAAATAGGTACTATAGCAGTCATTTTCTTTTGTTTGCTTGATCACTGGAATTTTGTTGACTTTGAATGCATGTCTTTCACTTAATTGGGTCATGTTTTTTCTAAAATTTAAATTTTTCTTCTTCCTATAGCCCTGCCATAGGACAGGCTGAGGCAGAGTCTCAGTGTTGCCCTGTTCAGTCTGAGGCAAGTGGGATTTATTTTATTCATTCTGGGGGCTTTCACAGCTTTATGGCTGTTGGATATTTATGTCCCCAAACTTGCAGCAAGTTTGGTGAAGGCCCCTAAATTTATTTTAATTTAGGTTTTTTATTCTATTTTGGTAGATGGGCTCTATATTAATATTTATCTCTTTATTATCGTCGTATTTTTAAGAGTCTTAGGGGGAGTACTTGTGCTGTATTGGTTTTGGTAATGTGACATGTGTAGTCTCTGAACTAGTGGCTTGTAAATATTCATTACTAATGCTTCCTCTTCTGGGGAGATATATCTGTTGAAGTGCTTAAAATACTTAGGTTTTAACTACTAAGTGACATTTATAGTCACAAAATCATGTAGCCTAAATTACAGAACACAGTTTCTTTGGAGGAGATTTAGGTGTTAATACTGCTGCATATGAGCTGTACCACAACAAATATTAATGTAGAGCCCTATGAAGAAATAGAAATTCAAGTTGTTAAAGCAGAATAGAAGAATGAGAAATCAAAGCTGAGTATTTTTTGGTTTGTCAGCTTCAGGGAAAACCCTTTCATCAATTTCTCAAATACACCAAACTTGACAATATTTTGTCTGTTGCAACAATACTGAAAGTCGTAGCACTTTTTTGAAACCTTGTGGAATTCTGTTGCATATTCAAAATCTGCTTAGGTATATGCTTATCTGAAGTTCCTTCTTTCACACAGAGACCAGCAAAAAATTCTACTGTTTGTGAAGAAAAATGAGCTTTGGTGTTGCTGCTCACTCTGCAGATATGTTGGCTTTGAATCTTTGAGATTTGCTTAAAGATAACTTCAGCTTCAGAAAAACAGGTTTTGTCCAAGGAGGTGTCTTAGCAGCCTATCAGCAGTGAAATAGAAAATTAACTAATGCTGGAGTCAGGTTTTATAACTTTTCTAAATTTTTGAGATATTTTTAAAATTTGTGGTGTTTATTGATGAGTGTAGACTGTGTTTCATTTCCTGAAGATTTTGCGAAATAATGACCCCCAATGTGATTTCCAGTAATTGTCATTAAAGGATAGAGTTGTAATTCTTAACTTTGTTAAAAGAGTGAATTTCACATTCCTGTCATACTTTTTTTTTTTTCCTTCGTACTCTGCCCTTTGCATTTTTCAACCCCCCCCCCCCCGATCATCTGCTCTGACTGGAAAATTGACATGGCCTCTGTTAGCTGCTTCAAAACGGTTCTTGAGCATGGTGTTGATTTTCTAATTCTCCTTGCGGTGCTACCCTTGATAACAGTGAAGATGAGAGCAACACTTCAAGATGTGCTACTGCAACTATATTTGTCTCGCATGTTTAGTCTATAGGAGCATTTGGCTTGGCTCTTATTTCCCTAGAGCGTCTAAGGAA